TGTCACCTACAAACTGGGCAATGAGTTAAATATCTTATGAACAGGGTCTAGATTAATCTTTGACTATGAGGTAGGCATTACTTTCGGTCCAAAGGATGATATACAGCTCCTAAGAAGTCCATTTGGGATCAGATCCCATTTGGGTGTCTCTGCAAAGTCTAGTGCCTATTGCCCATTGTATTATATTGACTCTTTTTTTTTTTTTTTTTTGAGACAGAGCCTCAAGCTGTCTCCCTGGGTAGAGTGCCATTGCATTACAGCTTACAGCAACCTCCAACTCCTGGGCTCAAGCGAGTCTCCTGCCTCCGCCTCCCAAGTAGCTGGGACTACAGGCGCCCGCCACAACGCCCGGCTATTTTTTGGTTGCAGCCGTCATTGTTGTTTGGCAGGTCCGGGCTGGGGATTCGAACCCGCCAGCTTAGGTGTACGTGGCTGGCGCCTTAGCCGGGTGAGCTATAGGTGCCGAGCCTATATTGACTCTTCTTACAGCAGGCCTTAGTGTCTGTTTTATCCCAATGTCAACATACTTCATATCCATCAAATTCATATTAGTACCTTTGCTACTTTGTGTGGCTCTACAGTCTACATATATTTATGACTAGGATGATTTTATTAATAGCGTGGAAGAAATTTTCAGTAGGTTAAACTAAAGCAGGGCTCAGAAACTGTTTCCATAAAGGACCAGATAGTGAGTATTCTAGGCTTTATGGGCCATTCACTGTGTGGAAACTATCCATTCCTGCCTGTGTAGTGAGAATGCCACCACAGATGGTAAGTTAGCCAATGATTACTACTGCATCTCTCAAACTTTATTTATAAAATAAAAACAGGTCGTGGACAGTTTTGGTCCTTGAGTGTACAGTTAAACGTTTATTTCATTTTCACCATCTAAGCTAATGTATTTTATTCAGTTTATTTATTCACACATTCATTTCTGCATTGGAAATGCATTGACGTGTAATCTAAATTACTCTGATAAAACAGAAATTAAGGAAGGTGATAGAAGAGATGTAATTTGATTTTAACAGTCTTGGGTCTTTCAGAAATACAGATGACTCTTGAACAACTTGGAGGTTGGGATGCTGACTCCCCCCCCCATCAGTTAAAAATACTTATATAACTTTTGGTTTCCCCCAAATTTAACTATTTTGAGTGTAAGCCTTATTGATAACATAAATTATCGATTAATATGTTTTGTACAGTATGTGTATTATATCCTATAGAAAAGAAAATGTCATTAAAATCATAAGGGACAACAATAATATGTACTATTCATGAAGTGGAAGTGGATCATATAAAGGCCTTTATCCCCATCCTCTTCATGTTGTATGGTCTAAGGAGGAGAAGAAACGCAGGGGTGGTCTTGCTGTCTCGGGTGGCGGAGGCAGAAGAAGTAGAGGTGGAAGGGGCGGCAGCAGGGGCAGGCACACTCAGGGTGACTTATTTTATTTATTTATTTATTTATTTTTTGAGACAGAGTCTCAAGCTGTTGCCCTGGGTAGAGTGCTGTGGCATCGTTGTTCACAGCAACCTCAAACTCTTGGGCTTAAGTGATCCTCTTGCCTCAGCCTCCCAAGTAGCTGGGACTACAGGTGCCTACCACAATGCCTGGCTATGTTTTGGTTATAGTTGTCATTGTTGGTTGGTGGGCCCAGGCTGGATTCGAACCTGCCAGATCTGGTGTATGTGGCTGGCGCCTTAGCTGCTTGAGCTATAGGCGCCAAGCCAGGGCAACTTATTTTGAAAAAAATCTGCATATAAGTAGATCCTCACTGTTCAAACCTATATTGTTCAACGATCCACCGTACTTAAGGATCTGAACTTTATCTCATGGCTTGGCATGTGAACTGGTGCAAGTTACATGATCTATTTGAGCTTTATTTCCCTTGGCAATAAAATTGTGAGAATAATAATACTTACCTCACAGAGTTGTTGAAAGGTGGAAATGGAAGAGCACTGTCCTATAAGCATATTGACTGTTGCTGGTGTTGTCTTCCTGGGATTTTTATATATCTCCAGATGAAGTGTTTCTGCATAGTGAAATTTGACTATAAGAAAGGCAGAGGGCTGTGGTATATGTACACCATGGAATACTATGCAGCCATAAAGAAAGATGGAGACTTTACGTCCTTCATGTTCACATGGATGGAGCTGGAAAATGTTCT